GAGGGAGAGGGGGGGGGGGGGGGTGATAATGCGACCCACGTCGCGGGCCCACAGTTCCCAAGCGCAATTAAACGGGCGCTTCTTTAAAATTCGGGACACTACGAGTGGCTTTCGTCCAACGGTGACTGGGCCCACGACGACTCCTGTCTCTGACAAAATATCTTTTGATGCGTGCTTACGTAGGCATTAGGAGGGGGAGGGGGGGGGGGGGTCAAGATTTTCGCACCCGAGGCTTCGGCGTGTCTCGGTCACGGTGGCGCTAGACCCACGCGACCGATGCCTCCGTAACATCGTCGCTTTTGGCTGGCGCCGGACCTCCTCGTAATCACGGACCACTTCGAGCGACTGGAAGGGGTTATGGGACGATAGAGTTTGGCGCAGAAGGGGGGGGGGACAAAGACGGGCCGGTTATTGCTTACGATGAAGTTACATTTCACCGTCGACTCGTTCCCAATATCCTTCGTAACGTCGGTCGTCGAATAGCAATCTCCATTGGCAATTATCGGCGATACCAAGCTACTTTCGCGAAATTTTTTTTTTTTTTGCTACACGCGACAAGGACGACATCCCTGCTTATTCGCTGAGCTTTCAATACGAGGACTCCACTCGTTATTGCAAGTACATTGGCGCGAGCACACCGATTCGTTATCTAGTCGTCGATTTCACATATTCGTTTGATCCTCCCCCAACAGCTTACTGTGCCATTAAGTAAATCCTTTCATCTTTCTTTTCACCTTTCGCCCTTTAATTTTACGACTATTTGCGATAATAATCACTGCCACTTTTTGTTTATCCTTTTTGTTATTTGCATATTAATCAGCTCCAAGTCCGCCACTAATATTATTAAAATATTCTTGTGTGCGTGTCTAGTCGCGCACGCCAAGTTGAATGTCACAAAAGGACAGAATTTAATCTTGAAATGCGAAGAGCCGTCGTTCGCTACATTCGATCCTTCCTTCCTTTGGTCTTCTGCCAAATAAACAAGGAGACGCACGGGTGTCCTGTGAAATCACGGCTACGCGGGTTTGGCTGGAATTGTGCGCGACTAGCGCCATCCCGTGGCCGGCAGCGCAATTATTTAAGCCGTCGGTAGTCGGTAACGTCGCCGACCGTACAATTAACCGTGCGAGCTCTCTCCCTTTCTCGTTGCCTTATCCACTGCGTCGTCGGCAACTTACCCTCGGAGTCGGCGACTCGAGCGCCGCGTCGTTGACGTGTTGGGCTTGGCGAGGAGAGCAGGCTGAACGGGGCCCGGGGTATTTCCACGCTGGGATTAACCCACCGAAGGTCCGCGGCAGGCACGTGGGCGCCACATGACGTTGTTAAGAACGTCCAAGGCGCGAGATTCGAGATTCGAGATTCGATAGGCGTCGTCACATTAGGCCCGTGAGATAGATTTCCTTCTCCTCGTATCGCGGATATATCTCCGCTCATCGTCCAAGAGCGCCATTCTACCGCGTCCTTGCGTCTCGACCTTCGTTCTCGCGACCCGGAGATGTCCCGTCGTCGAGGCGACATCTATTACAAACCTCTCCCGCCTCCCCCAGCCGCTGCAGATTCCCAAACGGAATTCGTTATCGCGCGAGCGCAGCCCCCAGCCCCCGCTGTCGCCACCACCACCACCACCGCGACGACTACCACCACCACCACCACCACCACCACCACCACCACGACTACCAACACCGCAACACGTACCATCTACCACCAACGATGCAACACTATCACCTTCACCATGGGGAGGGTGTGCAAGAGGGCCAAACGTGCCACTTAAGAAATTAGTCTTCGATTTCCGCCGGAGAGCATTTCCGAATGTCTCAGTCACACGACGCAGTCAGGATCTCCACGGGGGACGGTTTGCTCTGGCTTATCGTACTTGAGCCACTGACTGGCTAATTTGGCACGCGCCTGAATTATCTTCGCGCAAATTGCGCGCTTATAGAGGCGTCCAGTCCGCGGGAAGTATCGAGGGAATTATTGAGGGAATAATTATAGCCGAGGTGGGGAGGAGTCGGATGGGTGACGTCGTTGATGAAAAATTGTCACTTGAGGTGGCCACGTGACGAGGATCGCGCTTCGTTAAACTGCATTGTAGACCAAAAATGATTGTCGGATTGTTAATTTTATTCGTTTGTCTTCTACTATTTATCAATAGATTTATCAATCCGGGTGTTGTGGCTTCTTGGGCGTCGTCGAAACAAAAATCTCAAAATATTGAGAACAGGGCGTAAGCTACTGTCTTTAACGGGAAAGTCGAGATGATGATGTGATGTGGAAGGAGGCAATTAACGTATATGTGAATTATTCTCCTAGGATATTGATTTATGAAATTAGTATACATAGGTAGGTAGGTAGGTAGGTAGGTCGGTCGGTCGGTTGATCGATCGGTTAGTCGGTAGGTTTTGTTCGGTCAGTAGGTATTGCACGTACACTTTTATACGCACACACACACACACACACACACACACACACACACACACACACACACACACACATAAACATTCATCCCCATAGCCTAGGCAAAGACGTTATTCGTTGCTCTTACACGATTGTCCAGTGAAATGGAGATTCGCGAGGCGTTTTGGGTTAAAGATTTTATGTCTGACAATATGGTTGCGTTTGAATAAGTTTTTGCTCTGTCGATGTAACGAAATTACTAAATAATCGTTCATTCTTAAATTATCATTGCTTATTAAAGAATCTTTTAACGAATTGGCTAAGACGGATGTCACTCCATCGAAATTCCGAGCGAGCCAATCAATATACATATTTTTCCACGACCATGGACGACTTAGATCTTGGATTCTGTCGTGGATGAAATCGCGCGATTCAGTTGCATCTTGTCAAAGGGATATGCAGAGGCGATTAAGTTGATAAGTTTGAGTTAGGTCGTCGTCGGAGGTGGTCGTGAGGTCCGGCATTCTCGGTGTGGCGTAGATTATGCTCCCCGTTAAGTCTCGGCTTGGGATGTCATGGCGAGGTCGGGGCCGGAGGCACGAGGCAGCCATGTAAACCGTAGTTTGTTGTTGTTATTGAGATGTTATTGTGATGGTGGAGAAGGAGCGGCGCGCCGTTCCGAGTAAAAGGATTCGGAGCTAAGCTCGTGTAATCGGGATGAGAGCGCCGTCGACTTACGGCTATTTGTTTTCGTTCGTTCGCTCCTGGGAAAGCTCGTTGAGCGATGGTGTTCCGAGCGGGGACGGAGAATGGGTGAATATATATTGGGTGAGGGGAGGAGGAGGAGGAGGAGGGGGAGGGGGAGGGGGATGATGAGGGGGAGGAGAAGGGGAAGGAGAAGGAAATTGTTGTAAAAGAGGCGACAGTAGAAGCGTGAAAAATCGGGCCCATCGATCTTGGCGCAGTTGCGAACGGCCGAGGGTCGCGTGGACGTAACTTCATGGGTCCTCTCACCGGCAGCGGGGGGATTGAAAAGTCTCGGACCGGCAGCCGTGGATGACGGAGCTGGATTTGCCACACCGAGTATCTAGGTGTCGGGGCTCGGAGACGGAGAAGTCATTTTACCTAGTCCGTGGGCAAAGGACACCTCCTTGGCTAAACATTGGCTCCTTTCCTTCGACGTTCAAAGTTTGGGCAGCGCACAATGCGCTCGGGGCAGCTCGTGATGGATGAGTGGCGGGTGCGGATGGGACGACTCGCCCGTACGACTTGCGATCGGCCCATGACCGATGATTCCCACATACCGGCTTGGCCTTGGCATTTTTAATCGCTTATATGGGTTCGCGCTATCGCTAGGAGTGCGCATCAAGTGGAAATGGTAGCTGGCAGCGTTAGGGATTTGATACCGCGAGCGGACATAGTCCTGGCTTGTTTAAATTCCTCGAGCTTCTCTCTAAATTATTTCCATTATACGGCTCTGGGCAATTAATGCACGCACGCTGGGTCATGAATTACCGGGTTATTTAATACGATCCTATATCGCCTTTATTATCCTTCTGTAAATCAGGGGGCAACGATTTGTAAGCGATCTTGGCGTGGGTGGATGGGGGGGGGTGTGAAGGTGGAGAGAGTGAAGGAGGTGGATGGAGAAGATAGAGATGGAGAGAGAGAGAGAGAGAGAGAGAGAGAGAGAGAGAGGCATATATGAAGAAGCCGTTATTATTGTAGAACGTTAATTTTGGGCTTTAGAGATGGTTCGCGAGGAGCGATGGGAAGCCAAAGAAACGATGATAAAATTGCCAATTGATGTACGGGGGATTCGAGGTCGAAGTCGGCTCGTTCCAATAGCCCAATCCAAGTCGGTAATAATAAAGTCATCGTGGAACGTCAGTTGCCGTCGTAGGCTCAAATTTAATTTGAAAGCGGCGGAGGAACCGGCAATTATCGCACCCCGGGCACCCGTGTCTTTATTGAAATTCGCGTCACTTCCTTGACGCCGCCCCAGACGCTCGCGACGACCCCAACGTCGTTCGCATCACCTCCCGCGCTCGTAAATCCACGTCGAGCCACGGCAATGCTCGCCATTCCATTATGACGGCCAACTTCCGGGATTCCGACGGACGCGCTCGGCTGGCAAGCATCTCCGGCCCAGCAGTGACAATAAGACGAGTAACGTAGCCGGTGGGGGCGTCAACGAGCCATCAGGCGGTGGGGGTCGAGGGGGGGGGGATGGAAGAGGTAGAGGAAGAGGAGAAGAAGGAGTAGGAAAAGTGAGTCGTCGTAAAAGCGAGCGCGCGCGCGCGCGTGACACCTTAATTAAGCGACGGTGGTGGTAAGACGCTAGCCAACTGGAGTCCTTGGAGCG